TTCTGTTGAAAGCTTCATTGCCAAAAGGAAGAATAAAATGAAGAAATTTGCTAATAAATGGCATCCATTATTCCCAGTATTTCAAACCTGACCTGTGTATGCAGCAATCGCTTCTTTTTTGTAAAATCTTGATCTGTTTCCCCTTTGAAAAATTATCATTGTTTTAGTTATGTATTGACTAGTTAGTTAATGGCACTGGTGTAACTTTGGGGAACACATATTATAGGTTGGATATAAGACACAATATACAACACAATAAGCCGGATGTTGCGCAATATATAACACAACACATTGATGTGACACAAGACACAGCATGACATGTCAGAATAATTGTGGCACTATATACAACACATGTTAGATAAGACATATTTACAATGTATATCAGATAATACATTATGTACAACACGATAGATGTACAACACGATAGAGTGGCCGTGACACTACAATATGCTATGTCGGGTGTTGCACTATATACAATATGATATGTCAGATGGTATGTCAGATATGGCGCCGTATACAACAAAATATGTTGAATGTGACACAATATACAGCTTGATATGTCAGATGTGGTGCTATAAACAATATGATATGTTCATATATGATGCTATTTACAATTTGACATATGAGATGTAATACTATATACTTATGATATATCAGATATGACATTATATACAACTTATGATGGAAAAAAACACCCCAAAAAAACCCCAAAAACAAAAAACTACTAATAACGAAACACTTCTAGAAAATTATGCACATATTTATACCATGCATCAAAATACCCCCCAATTCAGTAAGATATATTTTTGTAGGATTTCCCCATGTACTATGACATCATATATATTTGTTGTAAACTCAACCTTTGTTATTGTATACATGTGTAAATGTAAGTGAAAATTGTATATATGTTGTATACGGCCTGTGGCCTATAGACAATAAAAAGACTTTGACTTGAAAAAAAAAAAAAAAAAAAAAATAGCCTGATATTGTTGCTATAACGTTAGTCTGTTTTAATTTTAATTTTTGCATTTTGTTTTTATTTATTTGTTATGGCATTCCACAGAATAATTTTTTTGCCGCGAAGTGTAATGAGACAGACAACATCGATAGGTCGCACTCAGGACATGTGTGCGAAATATGATACACGTTGACAATCTATAAAATGTCTAGATATTACAATCATGTTATAAATTCACTAAGTATAAGCAGATCGTGTGCATTATATTAAGTTTCAAAATGATTAGAAATATGATAATAAACTATAAGACAAACTATAAAGATGTACATTGACTTCGTTCAGTCCTAACACTTTTTACCACTGGCAGATGGTTAAACTTAAAATGTTTTCATTTGTTATCAAAATAATGTCATTTAATACAACATTCAGATTGACTAGTAGTGAACCCAAGCTCACTACTCTCCCAAAGACTCCCCATGTAATTAGTTAGGCTTACTTTCAAAACATTGCTATTGTATCAGGCTTCTCACCAAATTCAAGGTCAAACTATTTCTTAAATCAAATTCTACATCCATTTACGTTAACATTTATATAAAGTCAACATTACCATGAAATCAAAATTTTACATCAAAATCAGCATTTTTATCAAAGTGAATATTTTTTTATAAGAAACCAAATTATTCATCAAAGTCTACATAATTTTACAACATAAGATTATGAGTAAAAAAGGTTTCATCTTTGTTGATCGGTCTATACTTATACTATCAATTGTGCATGAGGGTGGCGCAGCAGAGGTAACAAACCAGTCATGAATTCTGGGATATCATCCGGGTACTCACTGGAGAAAAACAATAACAAAAGCAACAACCAGTCCAAGGAAATTGCTCTGGATCAGTGGCCCTTTAAATCTGACATTGTTTGGAGTGATATGTGAGGTAGCACTGAATAGTGAGTGAGTGAGCGAATGTGTTGGGTTTAACGCCTCCTTGAACAATATTCAAATTATATCACAGTTTTATCGGGTTTATATGAGAGTTATTTGTTTGTGGCACGCCCAAGGGACACAACTCACTGCGAATAACAGCACCCTAGTCGTCACCACTCGCCCCTTTCCGTAAACTCCAAGAAAACTTCGTACTTGAAGAAGATTCGAGTTTGTCCTGAATATAAAACAGCAACACAGTCATTCCGGTAAGCCGGATGGCGTAACTACTCGTGTCATTCCGGTAAGCCGGATGGCGTCTCGTACCCCTCTTGTTGCCATGTTTACGACTGGTTCCTGTCTAGGCACAAACGGGCATGGAGATGAAAATAGTTAAGTACTATTACCAAGGAAAGATACCTCTGAATTTCCAAACATAACTCCTAGAATATCCTATATCCCGTGGATAAAACAGCAACACAGTCATTCCCTTTGTAAATATGTTTCAGTGTTTAAAGTTTCTAGCTCAATGTTTATGCTTAAATTGTACTTTGCATAGTTTAGCGAAGCGTCAAACTTCAACGGTGCCGCCATTTTCATGCTTCAAAATGCGTTTTACTACGCGCGATTTGATTGGTTTGCCACGATTCTTGGCAATACTGGCGTACTATTGGGGTGCGAGTCTTCTTGTAGGTCACGGAAAGAGGCGAGTAGTTACGAATGGAATGCTTAGATGACCTGTGCGAGAACCACTGTATTTAACACTGAATGCTTGTTACGTTTTTATATAAATACTTTTCACAGAATACAGAACATCTTGACAAATCTTGTCATTTTCTAGCTGAAACCATATAGTGGGGTTTTCTCGTGATCCTAGGTCTTACGCACACACAGACACACAGACACTCTGGTAAATAACAACCAACATATAAAATCGTTTATTCAGAAATACTTAATTCCATCACAAAGTCTTAATGTAACTTGATAACAATGTGTATATAAATACTATCACATATTTTGACATTTAAAAGATAAATACTGAATACTGTCACGTCCAGTTTTGAAAGACAAATACAGAATATATAAATATAATTTTGTACAGAAAATATTGAGAATACAAGGAAACAAACATAGTATTGCAACACTTAACAAGAACGTTCAAGAGAACTGTGGGACAGACCAATAATGGAAACATTAATACTGAAAACAGACATCACAGCACTTCGGGGATATCACATCTTTGGGGGATATCGGACCTGTCAGAAATAATACTGGCGAGATACCGCGCTTACAGCTGACATCAGTCTTGTATATTCTTATGAGATGCCAGTAAGGTATATATAAGAATCTCCCCTAAAGATATAAGCCCCTTATTGCATATTCCAGCATGAGGGGAGTCCTCTGTCAGTTATTATGAAGTATATACATGTAAGTAAATATATCAGTCTTTTAGCGACCGTTCATAATTTATGGCTAGGGGAGGTGAAGATGATCGTTATGGAGAAGCATGTACAATGTGGATGACCCCCCAACCCCTAAAATTTATGTACAAAATAAGTGACCCCCTGCATGTAAAGTACAAAATCAATGAACCCCTCTCCCTTCCCATATTTTCTAAGAATAATTTTATGTACAAAATTTCTTACCCCCACTAGTACGTGTGTACAAAATTGCTGACCTCCCCCCCAGCTCCCGAAAACAAAGTGGTTCTTTCCTCCCCCCTGCCATAAATTATGAACGGTCCCTCATCAAATCTGCCTCTTTGAGACGTGTCTTCTATGATTTGTGTTTTGTTTGAAATATCTCCCTAAAGACAACAGTCCTATATAAAATCTTCCTGTTTCAGACGTGTCTTCTATGAGATATCTGTTTTGTATAAGAAGTGTCGACGATGAGATGTAAAGTCTTATAAAATATCTATCTGAATGAGCACTTGTTTGAAGTACCTGCGCAAGATCAGCCGAGAAGAGGCATGAGATCGATGGAGTCAGTAGCACGAAATTCAACATCGATGTTGTTCTTGGTCAGAAGCCTCAAAATGGATCGACTGATATGTTTTTTGACCAATGAATAGGTTATTCGACTGGAATGGTCTGAACCTATGAATGGGTTAACAGGCTGATGTATTCTCAACCAATGGATGGCTTTATTAGACCGGTATGGTCTGAACCAAATGGACGGGTTTATCAGGCTGTTGTGGTCTGAACCAATGAATGGGTTTATCAGTCTGGTGTGGTCTCAACCAGTGGATGGGTTTATTAGACTGGTTAATCTCAACCAATGGACGGGTTTATGAGGCTGGTGTGATCTGGACCAAAGAATGGGTTTATCAGGCTGGTATGGTCTGAATCAATGGGTGGGTTATTTGACCGATACGGTCTGAACCAATTAATGGGTTTATTAGTCTGGTGTGATATGAACCAAGGGATTGGTTTATCTGGCTGGTATGGTCTGAACCAATGGACGGGTTTATTAGGCTGGTGTAGTCTGAACCAATGTAGGGGTTATTAGACCAGTGTGATCTGAACCAAGGAATTGATTTATCTGGCTGGTATGGTCTGAACCAATGGATTGATTTATCTGGCTGGTATGGTCTGAACCAATGTAGGGGTTATTAGACCAGTGTGATCTGAACCAAGGAATTGATTTATCTGGCTGGTATGGTCTGAACCAATGGATTGATTTATCTGGCTGGTGTAGTCTGAACCAATGTAGGGGTTATTAGACCAGTGTGATCTGAACCAAGGAATTGATTTATCTGGCTGGTATGGTCTGAACCAATGGATTGATTTATCTGGCTGGTATGGTCTGAACCATGAATGGGTTTATTTTTCTGGTATGGTCTGAACCAATGGACGGGTTTATTAGGCTGGTGTAGTCTGAACCAATGTAGGGGTTATTAGACCAGTGTGATCTGAACCAAGGAATTGATTTATCTGGGTGGGATGGTCTGAACCAATGGATTGATTTATCTGGCTGGTATGGTCTGAACCAATGGATTGATTTATCTGGCTGGTGTAGTCTGAACCAATGTAGGGGTTATTAGACCAGTGTGATCTGAACCAAGGAATTGATTTATCTGGCTGGTATGGTCTGAACCAATGGATTGATTTATCTGGCTGGTATGGTCTGAACCATGAATGGGTTTATTTTTCTGGTATGGTCTGAACCAATGGACGGGTTTATAAGGCTGGTGTGATCTTAACCAATATATGGGTTATCAGGCTGGTGTGGTCTGAACCAATATATGGGTTATCAGGCTGGTGTGGTCTGAACCAATGGATTAGCTTATTGGATTGGAATTTTCTGGACCTATGTTTGGGTTCTTAGAGTTGTCTGGTCTGGACCAATGTAAAGACAAGCAGACATGTGTTGCTCTGTACCACAAAATTGACCGGTAATGGAAATAATGTGAATCCGGACCAGCTTCAGGTTTAGTACACTGAACATCTTTAAGTTGAATACTCTGAGTGAGAGTCTACATGACATTGTGAGATCGTAAGTAAGATAGTACGTATGAAAGGCACTCCTGGTGACATGTTTCCTACAGCGAACCGTGACTAAGTTACTGACCTTTACACTAACATCGCCCAGAACAGCAGATCATAGCGGTATAAACTTCTATACGTACATATACGTACGGTATACTTCTACATAAAAACAGATACACAGACAGACGTACGGGAGTACTGATGGACAAGCTAGCGTGTGCAGGTGCACCCTGGGGTACTGAGCTTTACATGATCATATAAAACAATACAAATCATTAAACTGAAGCTGCAGGGACTCACGCGAAAACAACGACGTCTTGAACGTTAATACCACTGAACGTCTCCAGCTTCCCCGTCGTTGTGTATAGGAACATTCCAAATGATACACGGGATAGTGTAAGCCATGTTGCTCTCTATGTCGGTGATGTAAAAGCTGTTGCTGTTGGTGGCAATAACGTAAACTGTTTCTGTGGCCCTGTAAGCCATGTTCCTACACGGGAGGGTTTGTGGTGGTTATCGTTATTGATGTTGATGCTGTGGGAATTATTTATGTTGAATGGCGGTCGTGTTAGTCTTGTTGTAGGTGTCGTTGATATAAGTGTTGATGTTGCTGCCGCTGATGAAGGTGTTGTGGCTGTTGTATCCAGTGAGGTATATGTTGTTGGTGTTGCTGCTGCCGGTCACTGGTGTTGGTGATGTGGTGTTTTAGTGTTGATGCTGTTGTTGCCCGTCATGTAGGCGTCGTTGCTATTTATGCTTTGACGTGGCTGTTCTTTCGATGCAGGTGTTGCTGTTGAGGTCGGTCATGTAGGCCTCGTTGTTGTTGTTGTGGGTCATGTAGGTGTTGCTGTTGTTGCCGGTCATAGAGGAGTTGTTGTTATTGGTACAGTGCTGTAGGGGCTGTTGCTGTTGCTGCCGGTAATGTAGGCGTTCTTGCCGGTGACGTTGATGCTAATGTAAATACAAGAGTGAGAGAGTTTGGTTTTACGCCGCTTTTTGCAATATTCCAGCAATATCACGGCGGGGGAAACCACAAATGGGCTTCACACATTGTGCCCATGTGGGGAATCGAATCCGGGTCTTCGGCGTGACGAGCGAACGCTTTAACCACTAGGCTACCCCACCGCCCACAAATACAAGAGTGAAGTGTTGATGCCATTGTAAATACAAGAGTGAAGATTGCCTGCAATGTTGAGATAAGAGTGTCCAAAGTCAATACTGTTCAACACAGCGGCCTACACCGATCAGTCCATGTAGACTTCTGTCTGTCGACAGGTGTTAGCCCTCACTCACCAACATCCGCTAACGTGAAGAACGGCATCGCCTTGTCGGAATGTTTAATCCCAATGGTGAACCGTGGACTGGCCTGCTTGCCATACAACAACTTATCACTGTCATAGGCCCCGGGACCTGGGTTTTGTTGCTTGTAGCTGGGAAGATAGTTCCGACCCTTCATTGTCACAACAGGTGCGCGCTTTGTAAGAGGGACCGGGGTTCCGTACGCAGCCGGCCCGGGGGACTTAGACCAGTCGTATGCGAAACCAAACTGGTCCCTGCCCCTGAGAGCGACTGCCCGACCCCCCCTGTACATAGGGATGTCCGAGCCGAGGGTGGATGGTATGCTGTACGTCGTAGGGCCGGGGTTGGCATCGTCAAAGTTGGGAAATGATCGTCGACCAAAGCTGTAGCAGGGGGCGCGCTTGTCGCGGGGGGAGCCCAGACTGTCGGTCCGGTAGATGGGCCCTGGGGAGAAACTGGCAACAGGTCCTAGAGAAGATAGAATGTTGTTGTAAGACGTATAATGTTGTTGTTGTAATGTCTTTATAACATTTATTACATCTATATTGAGAGGAATAGAAATGGAATTTCCATTTTATTAAGAGACAGGTGAACAAAAGCTTTTGAGGATAGTAAATGTCTCGTTAAAAGCTGTACTATATAATTCCCAGAGGGACAAGGTGATTGTCATGGAAACAACAAAGCCGTTGATACTATTGTGATGGCCAGGTTCTGCCCTTACAGATATGTGGAAGTGCACTCACTGGGACTGGGTCTTCCGGCTATGGTGATGCCCTTCTCCCTCTCACGGCCGTACTTCGTCACCCTGCTGTCGACATTGTACGCCGGACCAGGACTGTCGTCCTTGAACTCTAGAAACAAAAATTCATAGAATGGCGACGTGGCACTGGTTGATCAAAGATGCGGCTAGTCAGGGCATTCATCAGAAATCACGTCTGTGTTATTCAGTCTGCTTTACTTGAGACTTCGTTACCCTATTTGAGAACACAGTGTGTCAACACTGATATCAGTGATCCATTCATAAAATCTTCACCATTGTTCTCCTTTGACGCGTGATGGAATCTGTTTCCCAGAAAATCGTGACTGAGTGTTCTATATCATGTTGACGATTGTGAATACTGTCAGATTTTACTGGCGCATCTGCATAATTTCTGTCACCACAAGCATGCTCTCACCAAACCAGTGACGATGTCAGCACACATCTATTTTCACTACCTGATCGTTATCTTCGTCATAGCTACTCTACATACTCTCGCGATATTTCTTACCATCCACGACCATAATCTCTCTACAGCACCGCTACAATTCAGACAGCTTATCACTAGCATCACGATCCACACCAGGCTCCAACACCTCAATCCACACCAGGCTCCACCACTACAATCCAAACCAGGCTCCACCACTACAATCCACACCAGGCTCCACCACCACAATCCTGACCAGGCTCCACCACCACAATCCACACCCGGCTCCACCACCACAATCCTGACCAGGCTCCACCACCACAATCCACACCCGGCTCAACCACCACAATCCACACCAGGCTCCACCACCACAATTCAAAACAGGTTCCACCACCATAATCCAAACCAGGCTTCACCACTAGAATCAAAACCAGGCTCCAACACCTCAATCCACACCAAGTTCCACCACTACAATCCAAACCAGGCTTCACTACTACAATCCAAACCAGGTTCCACCACCATAATCCAAACCAGGCTCCATTGCCACAATCCAAATCAGGCTCCACCACCACAATTCAAAACAGGTTCCACCACCACAATCCAAACCAGGCTTCACCACTACAATCCAAGTCAGGTTCCACCGCCACAATCCAAACCAAGCTCCATTGCCACAATCCAAATCAGGCTCCATCACCACAATCCAAACCAGGCTCCACCACCACAATCCAAACCAGGCTCCACCACTACAATCCAAACCAGGTTCCACCGCCACAATCCAAACCAAGCTCCACCACCACAATCCAAACCAGGCTCCACCACCACAATCCAAACCAGGCTCCACCATCATAATCCAAACCAGGCTTCACCACTACAATCCAAACCAGGCTCCACCACTACAATCCAAACCAGGCTTCACCACTACAATCCAAACCAGGCTCCACCACTACAATCCAAACCAGGCTCCACCACTACAATCCAAACCAGGCTTCACCACTACAATCCAAACCAGGCTCCACCACTACAATCCAAACCAGGCTCCACCACCACAATCCAAACCAGGCTCCATCATCATAATCCAAACCAGACTCCACAACTACAATGCAAACCAGGCTCCATCATCATAATCCAAACCACGTATCATCACAATCCAAACCAGGCTCCAACGTCGGATGATACGAAGGAAGCTGTACAACTGAAATACTCACGCGAGTATCTGGATCCAAAGCTGTATGCAGGTGCCCGTTTCATGCGCGGGTCATGCCGCTCTATCCCGAGCGTCGCGGGGAGGGAGTAGGCCGTCTCTGCCATCGCACCTGCAAACATTAGGTGAAGACATACAAACAGCTGTACGCAACATGTCGTACCCACTATAGGTACCTGTCGTCTAACGTAGCTCAGTTCTCTGAGCGGAATTCTGTCACTTTGCGATTTCTAATACACATGCTCTTTGGACATCTCTTAGCTGCCCAGAAGGGAAAGTAGATCGCCGACGACTACATGTAGAATAAGCCGGATTCGGAAACAGTAAAGTCAGCGTCGTCCCGATTTAAAACCGACACGCAACCACGTGGCTTAAGGGGCGGTGGGGTAGCCTAGTGGTTAAATCGCTAGCTCGTCACGTCGAAGACCCGGGTTCGATTCCCCACATGGGTACGAAATGTGAAGCCCATTTCTGGTGTCCCCCGCCGTGATATTGCTGGAATATTGCTAAAACCGGCGTAAACTATACTCACTCACTCACGGTGACTCACGTTTGATAATTTTTTAATGTAATTTTAAACATATGTTCTTAATGTAGGTTGAGACTTTAATGAATGGTCTGCCTATCAGTGGCACTACACAGTGATAATTAATTCCACAAAGCGAAATACATAGTTTTGTTAGTAAACGCCTCACTCAGCAATATTCCAGCTTTATAATGGCGATCTGTAAATAATCGAGTCTTGACATCAAATCCAGTGATTAACATCATGAGCATCGATCTACGCACTTGGAAACGATGACATGCGTCAACCAAGTCAGCGAGTCTGGCCAGTAAAAGCGAGTTACGACAAGCATGAGTTGCTGAAAACCAGTTCTAACTCTGATCTTACTCAGACAGAATGAGGTATCGCGGTACCTCCGTAAACCATTAATTCATGTTGGCCCAAGTGTTTGAACAAGTAGCTCTTAGGACGCGTAACACCCCGGTACAAGATCTAGTTCCTTGCAAACGGACTGCTTGAGTTGAGATTATAGAAATCCCTTTAAAATATACTGTTAAAATATCAGGATAATCGAATCCCGTCTTGAGATTTTATCACACCTGTGATACGTTTAACCCTCCCAGACTGAGCGCAGGTTTACAGCCATCTAGCAGTGTGAAGTACCGTTGTGCAACACGTGATTGTTGATGTTGACAAACTTCACGGATAACAACTTATTTTATTTCGTGAGTGCGACGTTTCGATACAGATTATTGTACCATTTTGCTGCTTAACAACGGTACAAGAATATGTATCGAAACGTCGCACTCACAAAAAATTAATAAGTTGTTATCCATAAAGTTTGTCAATATTGTACATCCCAACTTTTAAAATGCCGGGGCGGTGGGGTAGCCTAGTGGTTAAGGCGTTCGCTCGTCACGCTCAAGACCCGGGTTCGATTCCCCACATGGGTAAAATGTGTAAAGTCCATTTCTGTTGTCCCCGCCGTGATATTGGATTAATGCTAAAATGGGCGTAAAACTAAACTCACTCACTCACTCAATGCTACTCAAAGACGCTACGTGATGGTAAGTAGACGACTTGGACAACCAGCGCTGTAGGATATAAGAGCGGCAATTGAGTAAGTAAGTGAGTGAGTGATGTATATGTGAATTAGTGAGTGAGTGGACTGGGTTTCTGTATTTCTCTGTCTATTGTTTAGCCGCATTGGTAGATAACGTCTTCATACATGCTAACACCGCCATATAGCTGGAATATTGCTGAGTGCGGCGTAAAACTAAACTCACTCACTCACTCATACATGCTAACTGTTACCACTTAAGTCAACACTAACTGGTACATACATGGATACCGACATAGATACGGGTGTATTAACAGGTATATACGGGTATGTTGACAGGCACATACTGGTAATCTAACGGGCTAACGGGCACGTACGGGTATGTTAACGGGTACATACTGGCACACTATATCAGAGGGTTTAAACACATACCCCAGAAGGTACATATTGGTACACTTACGGGTGCGTGCTTGTACACTATAGGGTTTAAACATATACCTCATAGCGTACATTCTGATAAACCAGAGCCGTTAAACATACACCACGGATGGTACATACTTCTGATACTGATGCATTATAGGACTTAAACGAACAATCCAAAGGTACAAACTGGTACACTAACGGGTACGTACCATGTTGGTATGATGACGGGTACACACGTATATCTAGCTGGATACACGGCCGGGTGCATTCTGGTACACTAACGGGTACGTACGCTGAACGGATACTTACAGTTTCATGCACGAGCAGCATATACTGCCAGACAAAATGGGTACATACTGATACTCGGGTACATATGGCTACATCAGATATACTTACATTATCGACAGTACCCTAGCATGTGTGGTCTCAGCTGTGTCAGTCGCGACACTCAGCCATGATCTCGCCACTTACTCTATAAATCACTTTCCCCATGTCTCGCCACTTACAAGACAAATCCTCTACCTAAGGTAACAATCACGTCTATCATTCCCAGAGGATTACCAGGAATTAACTGAGCTGTATTTGGGCCGTTTCCCACCGAAGTTTTACTAATCTGGAAGATCACTCAGAACATGTCCCCCCTAAACCTTCCCCCTTTCCGACCCAGCAGCGTCAGTCAAGTCAAGTCAAGTCAAAGATATTTATTGTACTTAAGGCCTCCGGCCCATATACAAGTAATACAAGTATATATACAGCACATGTTACAGACATTTCACAAAGAAATTACAGTTCAGATAAGATATTGCTTCTAAGGAAAACAGCATGTTGTACATAAAGCGCAAGATTACGTATTACATTTTCATTTTTGGAGGATAGAATGGAAGCAAAGGCAGATGAAGGATATTTTAACAGGTAATTATTTGGGATATATTTTTTTCTTAAAGTCGAGGGACTGTCCCTCCACTACTGCCGGGTGATACTATACACTATATCTACTGGGGATACGCTACAGTAGGGTAATACATGGCGATATATTTATTGCTATTGATTGTCAAATACTTATAGGTATCAACGGTGGGTATTTTTCCTATCCAAACAAGGGTTGGCAAAGTCTAGTTTAGTGATCCCTTAAGCGTACCCCAACGTACTAAAGTGGCTGTGTTATCTTGCAGATCGGCACGCCGTGCACGGGGTGACATAAACATTGCTCCTACACAGCTGGTGATATAAACCACGCTGACTTTACACATGTGTATGTTTAGAAATGATAACAGAATCGCGATTTAAGTGCACAGCTGACAAGCAATTCCACTTGGGGTTGTATTTGTTTGGGGTTGTGTTAACTCTTGTACATACAGTTTTTTCACTTCCACGATAGACCGCTCTGGTCGTAGTCAGAAGGCCTTACTCAGCCACCTACAGTAGATGTTTATATTATGTACAGTATGCCTCAAATCAGGCATACTGTAAAACATGGAGTGGAGTCTTGGAGTGGGGTCTTGGAGTGGAGTCTTGGAATGGAGTTTAAATGTAAATATTTTGAAGACCGAGTTTGTTTTGTTTTGATCATAAGGGAAACTAAACCAGCGCATTCGTTCCAACATCTGTAGCTGGTTATCAGTTTTATCAGAAGGCAGGAGTCATTTTGTATACACTTATCAATTAGCCCTGTCAACTCCAGAAATGTCATTCTGTAACTGTATTAACTGCGGGTCCTGTTCTGGGGCTTTGTTGACATCAAGAAAAAAATGTGTATGAATAGATAGGAAGGATGGATGTGTCAACGCGTAGATATGATCGACAGGGGAACTAGCTTGGAATTATACGTACAATAAGTTGACAAAGACGAAGGATAGGTTGAGTTCAAACTACTTTAGTTGGTTGCACAAGCCAGGACAAACATTAGTAATAGTATACATGAATGAGGTGAGTGGAGTTCTGGCTCAACACAAGGGCGCTTCCTACGAGCGGCATTATCCTGCTCGTGGATTAAATAATTGCAATCAAGTTTCACATGGTTTGGCTACATAGTTTTTTATCTTTAGGAATATTTGAACGATGGCTGTCCTGAATTAGGCGCTATAACAGATGAATGTACGGATGGAAATGATTTACAACCTATAAACCAAATACTAATAATGGCATTATTTATTGCCCGATGAAGGACATGCATAACATTGACACATGCAAATGCACATTTGTGTAGAGGAAGCCGTTGTAAGGGAAAGGTACAGAAATACGGTCTATGCTAAGACATATTACATAACAAAGAAATTGATAACATAAGATACATAGCACTATATTATTCAGGAACAGGAATTTTTTTGTCAGTGATGGCAAACGTAACTGTTGCAATGTCATAATTGTCTTGTTTTTTTTTATAAAAATAGTTATCTTTCTACATCCTTGAACTTACAAACAAAAAGCAAAAAGAAATACAGTTGAATATTTTGCAAGCTGGTTGTTAGTGAGTCTCATCAGTTCTCTGTGCCTTCGAAAATCTTAACTTTCTGTAAGGTTATGTATGGGCAGTCCATTGGAATGTGACAGATAACAGGCAACACATCACTGATACGATCTGCCCTCAGAATGGCAGAAAGCTAAGCCAGTGCTACTGAGGATTGCCATGTAAACATTTTCACACTCTTGACTACGTTGCTGTCTACAAATGAAAGCATAATTGCTGAGAGTTTGAATTTGTGACAAATTATTAAGGAGTTTGGAGAAAACTGACATAGCAAACATTTCTATGACAGTTATAATAATAGTAAAGACATTTTAATAGTTGGCACATAACAGACATTCGATGTACTTGTAAAACCAAGTCAAACATTACTAGTTGATCATGCACTGCATCTTGAAGATAAATATATGAACATCTTTGACATCATACTTCTTATGCACTTCAGGCTTGCCCATCTTTTCCATATCAGTCTCACAGTATAGTATTGGTAGACATGACTTGTTATTCAGTGTCCTCAAATACAATGAACATTACATTGTGAAAACGTTAAGTTTTTTTAATTTCTCTTTGTGAACAAGAGTCAGCTGTTCCCTTAATTCATTATGTATGAGAATATTCTTCATCTCAAACCCTGGATCCAATCGCCTTGCACAGTGAACA